TCCTGGTGATGCTCACTTTGGCTGAGGTGGTACCTCCACTTGCAGAACTACCATTTCCTGCTTTAAACTTAAAAAATAACTCAGGGGAGATACTTTGATCTGTGCAAATACTGTGTTGCTCCTTAACCTGTCATCCATTAATTTTAGCATCTATTGGTAGATATCACTTGCAAAGATTGTTGCTGTGATGTTTTAATAGTGATTTTCTATTTGTTAGTTGGAATTCTGTAAGAAAGAGCTGTTTCTCCTCCACCATTTATTTATTAAACTACTTACATCAGTGTGGACTCATGGATACTTACTTTACTCTGTTTTTACTTATTTGTTATTCAAATTGTTCAAGCTTTGGCCACGGAGAGCTCTTTCAACTTGACTCTTGTGCCCTTTTGAGTTATCCCATCCCCCACTCTCCTTTTTCATGTTATTTTTACTAATAAAATTATTTTTGGAATTTTAGATTTATAGAACAATTTGCAGATCATACAAAGAGTACTGGTCAGTTCTGTTTACCCTTCCCCCAGCTCTTCCAAATGCTAACATTTTATAACCATGATATATTTGTCAAAACTAAGAAACCAACATTGGTACATTACTATTAACTAAACTCCAGACTTTATTTGGACTTTGCTAGTATTTCCACTAGTGTCCTTTTCCAAGCAGAGTCCAGGCCAGGACACTTACTCACTTAGGCCTCCATCCTTTTCTGGGCACTTCCTTACTTTCCACAAGATGCCCAAGACTTGTGTTGTATTTTCTCTGCCCAGCGCCGGAATAAACCACTTCTCCAAGAGGTCCCACCAGGGAGTTTTGAAAAATCCCAATGCCCGGGCAGCACCCTCAATTAATTCAGAATCTGTGGCTGTGAAACCCAGGCCATGAGAACCACTGATCTGGACCTCACTTTCAGGGGCTAAAGAATAATTAACACTGTGAATGGTAAATCCCCAAACGCCAAAGACTTAAGTGTGTTTCCCAAAAGGCTCTTACATTCTCTGAAGACAAGGGCTCTGTTTTGTTTATCTCTAATCAGTACCTAGTCCAGAACCTGGCACACAGGAGTCACTCAGAAATGCCAAATGAATGCAAACTAAACAAGGGAACCAAGACTTGACTCCCTTAGAGAATTTAGTCTCAGCTTGACTTCCTAATTCCTATCTATCCTACACTAGACTTCTTTGTTGCTTGGAGGTTTATGCTGAACACGTATTTCCTAAAATCTCAAAGTCAGTGCTAGGGAAGCAGCATAAAGGCTGTCCACTGAGAAGCCCTTGGGCAAATCTCCAGTCAGAAATCCTTGCCATCTTCTCCCTAGAATGATGCCATGCTGGTTTCCTCCCACTGGGTCTGCTGTCAACATCCCTCATCTGAGTCGGCTTCGGCCACCTGTACCTCCAACAGCCCGTATGGCAAGTGAATCAGAAAAGGTAGCACCGTCTTCTTCATCCCCTTTATTTTGTCCCTCCTCCATCTTTCTGGGCTGCTTTAACATCTCAGCTTCTTCTGCAGAGAAGCACAAAACCCAGCCAAACCAGAGTCAAATTCTAATTTTCTCACTTACTAGATGTATATACTTGGGCAAATAACCGAACCTCCTTGAGTCTCTGTTTTGTAGTATGTAAAATGGAGATAATAGCACCTAGTTTGCAGGATTGATGTGAGAAGCCAAGAGAACATTTTCACTAACCCAGAGCACAGTGTGTGCTCAGAAAAGGCATGTGTGATAGTCGTTATTTTTTTTAACTTTTACTGTGGGTTGGAGTGTCTTGCTGCTGGTACAGGGTTGGTTAGGGGTCCCAATCCTGTCTATCACTTTTAGTTTTGACTGAGTCTGTGTGATGCCAAAATAACTACAATGGACCCTTGAACAACATGGGTGTCAGGGACTCTGATCCCCATGCAACTGAAAACCCATATACAATTTTTGACTCTCTAAAAACTTAGCTACTAATAGCCTGTGGTTGACGGGAAGCCTTAGTGATAACAATCATCATTATTTTTGGTAGTGGGGATCAGTTTCTGAATCACAGTATTATTTGGAAGGGACAGGACAAGGCAACTGACTTGTATAAAAGAAAGCAAAAATTCTACCCATTTGTCCAGGGATCTAGAGTAACTAACTGAAGTTCATTTAGAATTTACCTAATTCATTACATGAACCTACACAATCCAGAGGAAATACTGCATAAAGGCAGCCTCAGCTGGAGCACTTATTTGCTGCCACCACCACCTTTCTGCTTAACCAACACATAATAATAAATAACAGGAGGAGGGGACACACTGGCGTCTTCAGAGTGCTTCAGTTTGAATCCTCTCATTGAGATTGATGTGAGAAGCCAAGAGAACATTTTCACTAACCCAGAGCACAGTGTGTGCTCAGAAAAGGCATGTGTGATAGTCGTTATTTTTTTTAACTTTTACTGTGGGTTGGAGTGTCTTGCTGCTGGTACAGGGTTGGTTAGGGGTCCCAATCCTGTCTATCACTTTTAGTTTTGACTGAGTCTGTGTGATGCCAAAATAACTACAATGGACCCTTGAACAACATGGGTGTCAGGGACTCTGATCCCCATGCAACTGAAAACCCATATACAATTTTTGACTCTCTAAAAACTTAGCTACTAATAGCCTGTGGTTGACGGGAAGCCTTAGTGATAACAATCATCATTATTTTTGGTAGTGGGGATCAGTTTCTGAATCACAGTATTATTTGGAAGGGACAGGACAAGGCAACTGACTTGTATAAAAGAAAGCAAAAATTCTACCCATTTGTCCAGGGATCTAGAGTAACTAACTGAAGTTCATTTAGAATTTACCTAATTCATTACATGAACCTACACAATCCAGAGGAAATACTGCATAAAGGCAGCCTCAGCTGGAGCACTTATTTGCTGCCACCACCACCTTTCTGCTTAACCAACACATAATAATAAATAACAGGAGGAGGGGACACACTGGCGTCTTCAGAGTGCTTCAGTTTGAATCCTCTCATTGAACACCTCCCGACCTCAAAATGGCTAGTTTTACCATTGTATAGTTAAAAAAAAAAAGATAAGAAAACCGAAGTTATATAAGGTAGCCAGGGACAGAGTCAAAACTCACATGCACATCTCTATGGCTCTGACATCCTTCCGGTTTCCAGCACTGTTTGTTTGTTTTTTTTTCTTCCTGTGTAAGTTTATAGGTGTCAGACAAGCACACTCACTCCAGGTCTATGCAAAACAGGAGTTTATGGGAAAAAGCTTAAAAGGCTGCTGCCTCATTGAAAAAAATGTCAAATTTAAAAAATGGGTTAAGGATCAATAGGCACAAATTTCCACTTATAAAATAGATAAATAGGTCCTGGGGGATATAATGTACAACATGGTGACTATAGTTAATAATACTGTGTTGAATATTAGAAATTTGCTAAGAGAACAGATCTTGAAAATACTCATCACAGGGAAAAAAAAATCTGTCACTATGCATGGTAATGGGCACTAACATGGTGATCACTTCACAATATATACAAATACTGAATCCCTATGTTCCTGTGTTGTCCACCTGAAGCCAATGTAATGTTATATGTCAGTTATACTTCAATAGAGAAAAAAAAATCAAGAAAAAACATCCTGATCTTTCACCTTCTCACTTGACCTCCCCATCTCTTCCCTTTGACTTAGTGGAGAAGTGTTTCCCTGGCAACTTGTTTGTTCGCCAACTAATCACTCAATCAACTAACTAACCAAACAGACAACATGCTTAGCCTATGTTAAGGCTGTGGTGAGAGCTACCCAAGCCCTCCCCTCAGGCAGCGCAGGAAGCGGAAGTATCCCACCAAAGGAGAGGACATGGGGTCAAGTGTCAAAGGAGAGGGAAATCTGAGAAGGGTCTGGACGAGGAGGGAGCCATGTGAGGGGTGGGAGGATGTGCTTGGGATAGGAGAAGCATTGGAGGTGGTGCGGCTGGTGGGAAATTCCAACAATAAAGACCAGTAGGAGAGGAGAGAAATAAGGGTGTGATACACCAATGATGAAGACAGCAGCCTCCTGTGGTCCCTATTTGTTTTCAGTGAGTAGTGAGAAATAGGGTCCAGGCCCGAATATGCTGGTTCAGCACATTCAAACATCACAGACTGAGCAACTGGGAGCTGTGAAGGTTTTGAGCTCAGAAGGGAGACCATACACTTGATGTTTAAGTCAATTTTGAACACTGCAAATTGCCTCAGGACTGATTTGTTGCCTGATTTAAAGTAACTAAAATAATTAGTTCTCAGTGTTAAAAAAAAAAGAAAGTATTCAAGGCTTCCACTGACACTGCCAGGTGCCCAAATACCTCAAAGGATTAAAATTAGAAATTTCTTGAATTGACATGAAGATACAGCGAAGGCTAAGGAGCTTGGATTTGGGAACAAATAGCACATAGGTATAAGCAGCCAGGAGTGGAGCAGAGAGAATTATGCAATCTTACTGTCAGGAAAAATGCCCTAAACTGTCAGGAAAAATACAAATATTTTTTTAAATGCTATGTAGTACCTAACTTCTATCTTTTCTGCAGTGATCAGGACAGAAATCTAATTTTTATAAGTCTTGTACTGAATATTAAGATTACAAATTATATCTTTTTATTTCGATGTATTTGTTAGATGCTTTATTTTAAGCTGTCCTGAAGGCTAACATCTCTGAGGCACACACAGAGATGAGATTACTATGTTGTGCCTTTTAAAACCAGATAATGATATAAATAACAAAAATGCAAGGAGCTCTGCTCACCTTTAGATTGTTTTGATGCTTTATCCTTCTAGATTGTTCTGTGGACATTAGGAGAGATTTCCAAACAGAACACAAGAGTTTTTCTTTTCTTTGGGATGTGAGGATGGAGGCTTAGGAGGTAACAAACCATTTTAAAAACAGACATAAGATGTTCTATGCATATATTGCAACCCCCAAACCCTGGGAAAGTATCTTTCACCTTCTTAATCTATATTAAAGTCCCAGACTATTGCCTATATTCTAATCCATACTTACCTATGAGCAAACATGGCATCAAGGCGTAGAAAAAGCATATGGTAAGACTTGTCAAGATTTCTTCTAGAACCATCTTGAGGGGCAGTGTTTGGCAGACTCAGCTTGACCTGGAACATTGTTTTCTTCCAGAATGAAGCACTCTGCCCGGCTGAGCCATCCCTGCTTCAGAATGCAGATGTTGGAGCTGAAGTCTGAGTCGCTGTGAAGAATGAGTCCCGGAAAGGGGAGCCAGCCCAGACAGCTAAGAAGGGGCGGGTTATGCAGCACCCTCCTTCCCATCCAAACCCAGATATTGCATCAGAGGGAGTGGCTTAGAAGAGTTCCAGAGAAAAGGTAACTGAGGAGCTCGAGGATCTGCCTGGGAGAGATACCTGGACTATAGGCTCTGTCCTGGGGGACCCTGGGTGTCCCTAGAGGCCCCATCATCAGTGAGCAGGCAAGGGTATCTTACTCTCTCATCAAATAGCTATCCACTTCCAAGTCTCTGTCTTGGGAGTTCATTCAATCTGGGTACAAACTAGCTCTTTTTGCTACATACCTACTTCAGAAAAAGTAGAGAAGTTAAAAAAGATTTTTTTAAAATACCTTTCAAAAAGTCAGGAAGCAAAGAATATAGAGCTTCATTCATATTTGCTTGCATTTGCAAAATGAAAACCTGTAAGTAGATGTAGAAACTAGCAAAATTGCTTACCTTGGGGCAGAGGGAGTGTGCATTGGGAAGATGGAGTTGAAAAATGGGAATGAGACTCTTCAGGGTAAATCTTTTTTCACTTTTTTTTTTAATTGTGGTAAAATACATATAAAATATACCATCATAACCATTTTTAAGTACACACAGTTCAGGAGTATTAAATACATTCAAGTTGTTGTGCAACCATCATTACCATCCGACCCTGCAACTCTTTTCACCCTGTAAAACTAAAACTTCATGCCAATTAAAATTTTTTTTTAATTGTGGTAAAATACATATAAAATATACCATCATAACCATTTTTAAGTACACACAGTTCAGGAGTATTAAATACATTCAAGTTGTTGTGCAACCATCATTACCATCCGACCCTGCAACTCTTTTCACCCTGTAAAACTAAAACTTCATGCCAATTAAACAGTAACTCCCCACAACCCCTCCCTCTAATCCCTGACAACCATTCTACTTTCTGTCTTTTTGATTCTGACTACTCGAAGTACTTCTTGTAAGTGGAATCTTGCAGTACTTGCCTATGACTGGCTTATTTCATAGCATGTCCTCAAGTTTCACCCATGTTGTAGCATATTGCAGAATTTTCCTTTTTATGGCTGAATATTCCACTGCATGAATATACCATATTTTGTTTGTCCATTCATCCATGGATGGACACTTGAGTTGCTTCCACATTTTAGCTATTGTGAATAATGCTGCTGTGAACATAAATGTACAAGTATCTCTTCAAGACCTTGTTTTTAATTATTTTGGGGGCTGTGTATCTTTTATGCTGTTGGACACAAAACCATGTGAATGTATTATTGAAAAATTAAAAACAGTTTAAAAAATTGGAAGGAAAAACTTATGATGGGGTTGGTCCCTTAAAATGTCAGCTTTTTAAGAACTCTAAACACTGTACAGATACAAATGAATTAGTGGGAAAAAAACGTGGGTTTTGGTTCCAGTTTCAGAACTTATTTGCAATATTACCTTGGGGAAGTTAATCACTTTTTACTCATTCAACAGACATTTACTAAGGGCCTATGATGTGCTAGATCTGGGAATTCAATAGTTCCTGTGTCAACCAAGAATTTTCCAAGTAGTGAAGAAGATGGACATGGGAATAATCATAAATCAGTATTGAAAATGAGGTGACAAATCATCACAAGGGAATACAGGAGCATTAAGGACAAACACCCAGCCCAGACTGGGGAGACTGGAGAAGACTTCCTGGAGGAGATGACTTTGGGGCTGAGTATTAAATGCTGAAAAACCTACCAGGCATGGAAACCACAGGAAGTTTGGTGCAATGGGAGAACGAGGTTGTAGTGGCAGGAGAAGATCAAAGGCAGGCAGAAACAGGATTCCAGAGTCTTGAATGCCTTGTTGAACTTATAATTTATCCCGAGAGCAGTAAAGATTAAAGGAGGTATTTAAAGCTCAAATTTCTGATGTCATTCCCAGTATTTGAGCTTTGAAAAGTTTATGAACTAGGGTGGAGAAATCAGTGGAAGGTGCCAGACTGGAGGCAGGAGGGCCAGGAGGCAACTATATCAGTCAGCTAGGTGAGAGATGTTGGCTTCTATTAGGTTTTCCATGTCTGTAGAGAGGTAACTAAATTCAAAAGATGGAGGCAGAATTGAGAGCTCCTAGATATCAAGTGGACTGGGAGGGTGGAACAGGAGGAGGCAAACATGACTTTCAGGTTTTAGGTTTGAGTAACTGAGTAGATGGCAGAACCTCAATTGAAGTAATGGAAAGGAGGACAATGGGATGGGGTCAGGGCAGGCACCTCAACCTAAATAATGGAAAGAGGGTGGAGTGACAGGCAGGACTGGGGCGGTACAGAAAAGGGTTTCATGTGTTCAGCTTGCTACACTTGAATTTGAGATGCTTATACAGGCAGGGGGGAATCTCTCTGAAACAATCTTTGCTTCAAGTTTGTGGGTGTCAAAGGTATAGCACCATTTCCCTACCTTCAGTATTTCAGTGGAATAATCAAAGGAAGAATGTAGATCAAGGAGATGTGCGCCTGTGCTCCTGGTGAAGACCAACAGAAAAAATAAATAGGGTGATATATGGGGGGAAGGTAAGTCAAAGAGGTGATCCTGGAACAAAACTTCGGTTTGAAGGATGGCGTGATCATGAGCAGGGAGTACAGAGGAGTCATGGAGTTAATCATTGAAAAATGTCTCCTGGATTTGGCACTGGGAAAGTCATTTATAATCTCAGAAAGAGGGGTTTCAGTGGAGAGCTTGGATCAGAAGCTAGGAAGTTGTGTTTTGAGAAGTGGATGGGGAATGTGCTCATTTGATATAAAGGGGGAAAAAGGCCAACTCCAAGAGCCTCATTTTTTCTTTTATCAAATAAATACAATTATGTTTTGTGTAACAGTTATGGGAACTAAAGAATGCAAATAAAGCACATTAGCACAGTGCCAGGAACACAGGTCTTCCTTAATACAGTATAACTATTTGTTATATTAGTAGCATTAACAATAAGTACATTAGGGATTATTTTCTCTGGCTAGCCCTTCGAGGGCTGCGTATCTTTTGGTGAGGCCTCTGGATCAGCAAAGAAAGGCTTCCAGTTGGAGATAGCTGTTAGAGGGTAGTAGTTAAAGTAGTTAAAAGGGCTCTGGAGCCACTGTCTGGATTGGCATCTGGGCTCTCCCACTTACCGTGTTTTTTTAGGTGAGCCATTTAAATGATCTGTTTTAGTGTCCTCATCTGTAAACTTCAGACTTAGTTCATAGGGCTTTCGTGAGGGCTAAATGAGATGGCACACTTAGAAGAGGATCTGGCAAGTAACTGTACAGTAAACATTAGCACAGTATCTTTTATTACACAACAGTCAAGAACACTCGGTGCATGTTCTCCTCAATCCCAGCACCGTGAGTCAGCAGCCACCAGCTGTGTGTACAGTCTCTCAGTGCTCCCTGGTGTCTGATCTGGTTTCCCTTGCTTTGGGTTCTGGACACACCCCAACTTGGTGTGCTTCATAGAGGCAGGCCTCAATATCTGTCCCCCATGTCACCTTTGTTTTTCCAGTCCTGGTTTCCTCATTCCTTTCTTCTAAACCCATTTCTGCCCAGTTTCCACATGTTAAAAGCTAATGTGTACTGGGCATCTACTGTGTGCCAGGAACTGTCCCAGAAGTTTTCCATGATTATCTGCATTCCCAATTCTATACAACAGATTTGCAAGGAAAGATCTGATTCCCAACTTCTCAGATGAGGGCTCACAGAAACTTATTTACTATAGGTCACAGAGTAGTCAAGGATAGAGACAGAAATGCCAACAACTGAGGTCTGTCTGCCTAGCTCCAAGTTCCTCTCACTCACCTCACTGCCTCGGAATCAGCACCAAAGGAGGGCTCACAATGTGTCTCGGGGGCATAGAGGAGTGAGTGATCCCAGAGGCTAGCAAAGGCTTTAAAGAATAGACAGATCTTGGAGTTCCAAGGATGTACCCATTTAGACTTAGGCAGGAGAGATGCATTCACAGTTCAGCATTCCAGCTGGGAGAATGGCATGAGCAAGGCCCAAGGATGGAAAAGTTGAGGGGAATACAGACTGAGGATGAAAAGGAAAAGGTAAGTATACAGAGACTGGGAGAGAGAACGAACAAGATTCACTCAGCTATGCTATCAGGGAGGAAGAATTGTTCTCCAAGCCTTGAGGACTTAGGTTAGCTCTACCTGAGCGTGGGTCCCTAAGATGCCCCTGCCCAGCTCTGCCAGTACTGCTGACAACACAGTACTGCCTGCCAGTCCTACACAAGCCAGTCCTGGGTTCAGTACACCACAAAGGGCACTGAAAGGTAAAGTTACCTACCTGGCACAGCTTTTGAAGGACAGTCCCTCTCAGGACTGGTTCATGACTCAACAAGCAAACTAGGCATCAACTCTGCAGGGGCCACACCACTGGGTAAGGACTTTCGGAGGGCTGTGCCTCACCTGCCAGCCCCTACCCTTCCTAGACTTCCCCACTCTGATTTTGCCTTTCTCTTCTGACTTTGATGTACTACTCTATTATCTTCTCAGCTGGTTTGTGCTCTTTTGTCTATGCAACATGCCCAAACTATCCTCTATAAACTGCTGCTTGCACTTCTCAGGTAAATTTCCACTGCCTTCCAAAGTTGAAGGATCATCTGAATCTGAAGATAGAATGCTAGAAAAACAGGCCTATTTCTTATCATTACCAGGTGGTCTAGAAATATAATTTTTTTTCCCTATTATACCACTTGCCACTAATATATTTGATATTTAATTATGGAAAGAACATTTAATTAACAAGGGACACAAGATTTTTATGGAAGAGAGACAGTGGGGAGGGGTAAGATCGATGGTCAAGAGAGTCCCCATAGGGCCTGGAATAGAATGAAGCAAGGGGGGCACTAGGGTGCACAACTGGAGGCACTACTCTTAGAGTTGTGCAAGTGCAAGGTAGGTCCTGGCACCCTGCCAGACTGCATGGTCAATTACCCCATTCCAATAATATATTGCCCTACATAGCACAGAACAGTCCTCTTTCCTTTACCAAGATTCCTATGTTCTGTGTTTTAACATATTTGATATTTACAAGTAACATGGGATAAACTGGAATTTCTCGTCTTGGATTCTTCTAATTCATGCTTCCACTGAATCTGTTCCAAGATGTAATTTCCACACTTTCAAGCTCTAGTTTTCAGGGTTCTTGCAACACTTCTATTATTAGTTTTTTAATTTCCCCTAATTTATTGACTGGCCACCAATGCAGAGTATCAAGAATTTAACCTCCCTTAACCTCAATTCTTTTCTTAGAGTGTGATCCCTTAAATCCTTAAGTCTGTCAAACTGTCTTCCTTCCTGTAGTTAAAACTAATGATTTTTTTTTGTGGGACATTCCATAACTCCTATTATAATGGGAGTACCAGGCTTTACTCAGCACAGCCCTTTGTAGTTAAAAAGTTCCACATTTAAGTAAAACAATTACCATTTAATTAAACGAAACTTTGAAAGCCAGAAAAAAACGATCTGTAATAGTGAAGACCAACATTATTTTTGAAGAATTTTGGTTGTTGTATTTTCATTCAACCACTGGTTTAATTCTAGTTAGCAGTGATCCTATTATACACACTGTACTCAAAGGTCAGTTTTACCAGAGGCCTCCATTGATCATCCTATATCAACTAACACCCATTCTCACTCTCCAACCCCCTCAACCTGTTCTAATTTTCCTTCAGAGCACTTCCTTAGGCATTACATCACTAGATATTTAAGTTTTATGATAGCTCTTGGACAACTGTGTCCATTTTTTTCATTATTATATTTCTAAGTTAGGACAGTCTGGCACCTGAGCAATCCAGGATCTGAAGTTTGTTGGACAATGGATAAATTTCTCCAAAAGCTAAACATACAAGCACAATCATACACAAAGACAGAGCAGTTCAAAAATATTTTTCCCATCTTGACACCAAGTGATTCGCACAATATGCCCTGATGCAACCAGTATTTGCTCTGTAGCATTCCTCTTACAGTCTAGAAAACTTAACAAACAGCAAGTTTTTGGCATTTCTTGCTCCTAGAAAAGATGCTTATTCAGGGATTACTAATTTCTTCCGTTAAGGACTCAAAAAATATCAATTTAATAACAATTCTGTGTTTAGCCTAAAGTAGACAACACTGAAGTCTCATTCTGGAATCTAGCCATCTCCACAGTTTCCCAAGGGCTATCTCTAAATTTTCTACATAGTCTTAATATACAAATTACTGAGTCCACAGACTTATTTAAACCAACTAAATATGTTAAATACCTTTTTTACAGTATTTGTTTCCTGTTTGAAAGTCATCAACATTCCATGAGGTACAAGAAAACATGGAAATTGAGTACTTTTGTCTTCTGTAGTTCTAATTACAAATAAGATTTGCACGTTATTTCAAAATACTGAGATCAGTTTTCCTGAGCTTTAAAAACAGCTAGAAAAACTAATTTGGATGGGAGCATTAAAAAATCAGCCAGGTTCGTAGGTCAATGTTTGTGCTAAGCATCAGGCCAATTCTGAAATATCTGAGATAATGAAAGTGCTCTGGCCAGCAAAAATACTCTCAAAAAGACACTTTGGTTTAAGACCTCTCTAAAGATGGCCAGTGATAACTGAAATGCTTCCAAGCCTCACGAAGCCCTATTTTGGTTCTATTCATTAAATAAACAAGTCTCAGAAAACTGTGTGTACTTCTGGATCAAAAGAACACCTCACTAGTAAACTAGAAAAATGTATTTTAGGTCCTTGGTTACTTGGTTTAGTCATGTAACAGCAAGAAATTCGGGTGTGGAGTATGCACAATCTGCTGCTCTGTGTTTAGATGACAAGTTGAGTCATATAAAATAAGTTGAGTCATAAACTTGCTAAACAAACAGAACCAGCTTATCAGAAAAGAGGAGCTTCCTACCTTGCTTTCCAATAAAATCAAATAATGGTTTTCCCTAGAAGCAGCAATGTGACATTTTTTAAGAAGTCCACTGAATGCTGTTCAGAACATAAAACAAGATGTCACTTATCCTGTATCAAACATCTTTTAAGGAGGAAGTAACTACAGTTGTGAAGACATTTGTAAACAGTTATAAGATATAAGCAAATACAAGGTCACAAAGGACCCCCTTTATCTTCTACCAAAATACTAAGTGGAAAAGATAAACTGCACTGTAATGCTGCATTCTTAATTCATTGATTTGGACACTGCATCTGAAGTGTTTCTGAAAAATTAGTTTCCAGATTCCAAACCCAAAGCTCTCCATGTTTCAGGAGAAACACATAATATGTAATAGTGCATTTGGAAATGTGAACTAGGGGGTAAGAATGAGGAGACATACTTAGTTTGAATTGTTTTCACCATGTGCATTGGTAAAAAAAAAATTAGGGTATCGCTCCCATACTAGGTTCCATCCAATAGTTGCCTTGTGGGAATTCAACTCCAATTATTATCAGCTTCTCACTTTTCAGAACTCTTAATGTGAAATCACCCTGTTTTTAAATGTTAACAATTACTTTCTGAAGCACTGTGAGGGTTAAACCGTATTCCTACTTGGTTGTATCCTGCACAGGGAATATGGACAAAATGGTGGGGAAATTTGGACTTCTCAACAAGGGAAGGTGCAGGGCTTGTCTTGGGGGAAGAGGCGCCTTTTCCTACTCTTACAAAGTCGTACCCAGACAACAGATATATATGTAGCCATATAAGGATGACCTTATTCTAACAACCCTAGTTGCTCATCTGCTAGGCCTTTTTATTCCTCCAGCAATGGCAGTGCATTGCACTTAGCCTCTTTTGTGATGTGATGTATCTGTGACAGTCTTTAACAGTGCCAGATGTACATGTTACTGTGTATGGTGAAAGATGTGTAACACATGTGTAAATATATATTCAGCTGTGCCCTAAGAATTTAAGTCCAAACATTAGACACAGCAGCAACAGCTTTTCATTGAGCATAAAGTTCTCCAAAATCTTGATTTTGGAGAAATTATTTGTAGAAATGGATTGGACAGGATTGTGGATGTTATGTGTATTAAACTGATAGCTAAACATCTCACATGCTGAAAATTTCTTAAATACTGCTCTTTCCAGGCCTCTCCTAGTCTAAATGCTAGCATACAGAGGGCACTGTGTCATGACAGAGTGTACCAGGCTGGGAATAAGGAAACTTGGTTTTTGATACAAGTCCTGATACTAGCTAGCAATGTAGATGTTTCCTAAGGTTGTTCTAGTTCTTAAGAAAATTGTTTCAGGCAAAATTCAAGCTTAAAAAGCCATCCATTGGTGTAAAGATTGGTTTAAGACTTTTTAAAACATATATAAAATATTGAAGTACAAAATTAAGTAGTTCCCAGTAAAGTTTTCATCCCATAAGAAGAGCACACAACAGTGTAAGAGCAATAAGAGTTATTATTGGCTCACCTCCCTGGGATTTGCAGCCCACCTATACACATCACAGGAAATGGACTAAAGGAAGGACTGGAGAAAAAACATGATACAGGTAATTAGAACAAAAATGCTACATCAATAGAAAGAGAAAAGATTAACGGTGATACCTTTTATATTTGTGTGGAGGTGGTTTTCTCTGGTCTGATTTCAACAAATAAAAGAGTGTCTATCTAGTCTGGTTTGCCTGCATGCCCTCCTGGATGCTGTTGAAGTTTTGTTTTGTTGGACAATCAGATGCCCTTCTATTTTGCCTTGTAGAACATGAGTAAACGCAGTGCTTCTTAAAATCATGACATAGAGATATAAATACGCATTCTGCTCCCAGTGCTACTCCATTCCTAGCTACTTTCTCAAAATCCTTAACATCAGCTCAGTGGGGTTTGCCAGGGAAGCTCATGTCTGTGATGCAAAGTATTAATTGCTCCATTTTCAAAAAACATCCATTATTTTTTATAAGGAAGATGGGCAGGGGAGGGACAGGGATGAGACAGGACAAAAAGAGATGGAAAACAAAAAGCAAGCATCAAATGTTTAAGATTAAATAGAAATATGTTTACTACCTAGTCATTTTACAACCACTTTACAGCTGTTTTCTTCAACTTACACTAAAATGATTTTACAGCAAAAAAAGGTAAGCATACATGACTTTTATTTCCATTAAACTTATCTACTAATAATCATCTTAATAAACAAAGGGGGACTGAGAATAATGAAATATGAACTGAAAGGCTTTAAAAGCAGATGTAATGAAGATGAAAAATTGTACATCAATCTCTTAATTGTATTTGCTGACTTTTGTGCTTAATGGGAGAAACCAGGGCTGCCACCCAGTGGCAATATAAGTTTAAATAATTTCAAGATTTAAAGAAAAAAATAAAACAAATTAACACCCCCCCACCCCGCTAAATCAGAATCTCATGAAATTAGACATTTTCAATCTTAACATCAGTAATTCTGGTATACTAAATGTTTATAACATATTAAAGAATGGAAAAATTAATTGCAGCACTGGGGAAATTTTTGAAAATGCCATATGACTTCCTACTGTTTAGTAAATGATGTGGTTTCAATAAATATTTTCAACTCAAATACTGAAGGTTACTTTGTTAAATTTAAGTCTTCAGAATTAATAATGGGGAGAAAAGCTGTGGCCATAAAATACCAGTTGGTTTTCTTCTGTGACCTACTGAAGCAAATTCTACAGTAGCCTTTCATCCATACACCTAAACTTTTACTTGGTAAACAAAAATGTAGAAGTACCTGCAAAGATAGATTTAAAAAATAATTTTCTCTAATCATGAGCACATTCCATCTTTTTTTCAGGTAAACATCGATGTTAGTGTCCCAGTCAACAAAACTCTAAGTTGAAAGGAGGAAATGGAAATAATAGAAATACCATGCCTGATAATTATGCATGTGTAGTGGCTAGGTGGGGGAGACCAAGTATCTCATTGCCTCCTACTTCCCCAAAATTTGGTCATAGCTTTTTTCACAATGGCACAGATACAACATATCATAATACAAGATGCTTTGGTAAAGTAATACCAGGGGGGGAAAAAAATAAGAGCATCCACTTACAGTCTGAAAAACTAACTATCTCAAAAACTGCTTTGTTGTCTTGAATAAGCAGATGAGAAAGCACCAAAAAAACTTTAATTCAGAAATCTTTGTTTTCAACAGTTGTAAATTAAAATTGCACAAGATATGTTTTCTAATTTACGTCCAACTTGTTTTGCTTTACACTGAAGACAATGGATGAATTTTAAAAAATGGCAGACACAACATACTTGGTATTTACAATGGCTTTTAACAAATACAATACCTGAAAATAATATCTAATTTAACATTTATTATTGCTATTTAGTTGCAGAAAAGATTAACACTCTTCAAGAAATTTATTTGAGCATATCAATATAATTTTATCTGAAGAGAGACCACTGAGGAAGTGGCTAATATGGCACCCTTACAAAGAAATAAAGGCAATAAAGAAATTCTTCCATATAAAGATTTTTGATCTACATAATTTTTCAAAATAAAAACCTTAATATTAGAAGCAAACAGAAAAACAGCAAAGAAAACAGCAACAGAAAACCAAGGATAAGGAATTGCTCTATGCAGATGCTTTGTATATGCAATATATATGTAGGGGCTGAGTTATAATAAAAATACTTAGGTATTATAGTCAATTCTCATATGGAGTTAGAAACAGCAATTTCCAAACAAGCATGATTGGACATTTTCTCAGTCTTCAATTATATGACAAATTACAGCTATGTAGCAGTCGCTTTTGGTCAGCAGTATCAGGATAAATGCTTGATAAGATATAATTTTTCTCCTTGTTCGCTTGTAAAAATTGGTGCCTTTTTGTAATGTTCTACTAGTTCTTCCATGGTGCTGAATTTACGCTGCCCAATGCAGTAGACAGTCTCTTTTAGTTGGACTTTAAAATGCTTGTTTTTCCCTTGTGCTTTTAGTGATACTGAGAAATCATTTGGCTAAAAGAGAAAAAACATGTAGGATAAACATTCTGAAAGATATCAATTAGCATTTTTATATTAAACTAGTAACAGCTGAAATTTGAGCACTTACTAAATAAATACTAAGTTCTATGCTACATTGTTTACTACAGATTATTTCTTTCATGCCTCAGAAAAAACCCATTTTACAGATGAGAAAATCAAGACTGAGAGAAGTTGCCCAAGATCATTCCATTTAGATAACAACAGACCAAGCACTCAGACTCCAAAGTCTCAACTATTATGCTACCCAACACCAACCACAAATCCTAACACTCACTTTTAATTTAATATTTGAAGCATAAGAGCTTTCTTCTAATAGTCAGACTATTGGAGAAACACAGGAGAAAATCCAAGATATCCACACCTAATTGGCTACCAATTAGTAGCCAATAGAAGCTGTCTTACAGAGTAGCTGAGACATTCTGATTCTCAGAGATGAAGGACATAAAAATCAGGATTAATGTAAATGTTAGTGAGAGTTCGTAAACTCAAATACTTAAAAGGGGCAAAAAAGAAATGTAAACAAGTAAAAAGGTATACAGAGGGAATGATAGTGCAAAGCCAATCTAAAGGAGGTGACCTCTTAGCTGTGATTTTTGCCTTGTAGAAATATGGGTAATGTTGACAGGACTTCCAATTTTAAAAGGGAAGTCTGATGTCTGAATTTTTGTAATAAATCTCCCAATATTTAAACACTGACAATGAATTTAAATATTTAAAAAACACTGTACACATCAAACAAAACATGCCTGTTTGAGACCTTTACTTTAAAAATTCTATTCCTAAAAATAATGGTGTATTTTAGCTAATATCTATGCTCATTTATTAACCACATGAAGTCACATAGTATTCTGCAATCAAGCTACTTTCTTAACTAGGTTTCTTCTTCTTTGAACCTGAACTCTTTCGAATAGTCTGTATCAACCCCAGAAAGGCTCTTTTTATATAGCTACTGCCAAAAATTCAAACAGTGACTCCCTGGAAACACCCCTTACTTAAGGCTTCTTTACCATCCACTCCAAAGTCACTCCCTTCCTAACTCCTCTGCCCATTGCTTGTCCTGGAAAGCATGGCCAGGTCAGGATCTAACAGAAAACAAAACCCACCACTCTTTCCTATCATCAACCACCTGAACTTCCTGAGGGGTTATATATAGGCCCCATTTCCTGAACTTCAGGCAGTTTAATTAATCTCAGTCTCTCCAGTCTCTTTTTTTCTTCCTTCCTCACTTACACACATTCACTTACACCACTCAAAACAGAGAGGTTTTCTTTCAACCTTTTGTACAATGACACATTCACTTTTGTATAAGTACATCACACAAAGCCAATACTGTAACTTGAAAAGTGGAAAAGTAGTCACATTCTTTATCAAGGAAAAATAAAGTCCATTTTTAAGGGAAATGAGTTATCATCAAATTCTAATATCCCAGAGAGTACCAAACAAAGCCCACATAACTATTTTCTCATTCAAGTTCTATGATTTTATATTATTTAAATAGTTTTGGATTAAAATTCATCTTTTATTACAAATGCATCTCAAATACAATGAGTGTTAAAATAGGTTTTTGAGGTATATGATAAAAGTGTATTCCAACTTCCAAACAACCCACTTATGATGAAACAAACAGAAATTTTAAATTTAGAGATTTCCTTTATTATAAGGATGACAGTGCATCCAATATGCAACTTAAGAAGTATTTTCCCAGTTCAGTCTATTGCATTGTTCTACTCTAAATGAAGAAGTCAGTTTTCAATTTTCTCTACTTTTCAGTTTAATGTCAATAGAAAATAATTCAAAAATGCAAATCCAACAGAACTAGACAAAGCCAAATAGTCCAGCGTCCTATCACCGCTAGGGCTATAGTCTATGCAAAATATATACAGCTGGGAAGAACACTGTCTTTAGCTTCAGAACATTTATGCTTATGTCCCAACTTTCTACCTCGTTTGTTTCAGAGAAGCCACTTAAACCTCTCCAGTCTTCTATTTATTTATTTTTTAATACCCAGAGCCCTTATTTCCATTTACCTTTCAAAACCAACTTACCGAAGATTCACTATCACGAATGAGGAAATCACCTTCATGCCCTCTTTCATTTAATGCCATTTCTGCTTGATGCCTGGTGACTTTACCATAATACCATGGATTGCCAGCAAACTTTCCAGTGAGTGAAGGCCTAATGTAATCACACTGTGGAGGTGACGGTTCCAAACCCGACGTTAATGGATTATTCTGCATAATGGTAACATAGTTTTTTGGCACCAGACCAACCGTTCCATTGATTTTCCTGCATTTCCACCACTCGGGGTCGTTTTCAGGTTTTTCGATAACATCCATTACATCTCCTTTCTCAAAATTAAGTTCTTCATCATTGGATGAGCTGAATGGGTAAAGAGCCTGTACCACATGCAACACTTGCCCAGTATTTAGGTTATTGACAACTGCTGCTAATTTCTCTGACAGAGAACCCACATGGTCACCCAAAGGACTGTCGCCTTCCTCAGTTACGTAGTTTGAAGGGAACCATCCAACTTGTCCATTGTAGCTACCCCGCCACCATCCATCACTGCATTTCTCCATGACAATCACCTTCGTCCCTTTTATCAATGATAATTCATCCTCTCTCTCTGCCATGTAGTTAAATTTCACATAAGCAGGCATGTTGAGGTCATAGAGACGTTCACCTGGGTCAACAAAGCTATCATCAGCAGAAGATGCAGAATCAGGCACGCTAGGTTTTCTTTTCACTTTTCCAATGCCTGTTTAAATAAAAAGGGGTAATGAGAAGAGAACATAAAATGATAACCAGAAAGCCCAATTTCCTCATTATTAAAAAAGATCTTCAACTCTGTAAGTTCTTTTAAGCTTTTAAAACTTAGCAAACTTATTTTACATCCCCATGACTTATTTTATAACTACAATTTGTACCTTTTAATCCCTTTACAAACTTTTCTTCATAACCAAATACTTAACTTCATCTCCTGTCAAATAATTTGCATTGACAATTATAAAATGTTATATATAACCATAATTATAAAATTATAACAATTAAGAAATTTTCTCTTAAATGTGAATATAGATTACTTGTATCATATGCACAATCTAAGTACATAATAAAGGCTCTGCCAAACCCATATTGTTATATGACTTTATTAACCTGGATTCTACATTAGTTGTAGAGAAACAAATCAACAGTTTAAATTATAACTTGATGTGCAAAATAAAATTATAGTTATGTCTGGGTAATCCTCTCCCATTTGCTTTCTTAGTTCCCAGACCCAGGCTGCTCTATTTACTTCGCATGTTTATTTTAATATAGTTTTCTTTTTTGTCTCCCCCTTCACCCCATTCATTTACTTTTTTTCATGGTTATAATCCCAAGGATCTTATACTTAGTACACAGTAAATATTTAATATATGTTAGTTGTAAGAAGTGAGAAAAATCACCAAATGGTACTATTATCACAAATCAACTTCAGTCAGACATTCATTCCCATTGCTGCTCACTTCTCAGTATATGATTTTATGTTCTCTTTTATAGAGAAAACTGAGGCATTCCCAGGTAAAATTTCTCAAATACCTTGTCACTGTCTCCGTCTTTCTCATTACCTTCACTCTTTTTTTTTTTCACCCAAGTTTCCAACCCCTGACCCTTCTGGGTTCTTAATGCCATCTTTCCTGCCCCGTTGGAGACTCCTGGCCATCATTTCCCTCCTACTCAGTCCCTTCCATTGTCTAAAAACACAGATCACTTCAATTCCAAAATAAAGTTTTGACTTTGTTATTCCTTTTAAACTACACCCTTCTGTAAAAAGTCCATTTTTTTTTTACCACACTGACTCCTAGCTCCTTTTAATTTGGTCCTCTTATCTATCAAAACTATTTAATTAAAACCATTCTTATGAAAACTGGGCCATCTCTTTACTAGTAAATCAGAACCTTTTAGAATCTTTAGTCTTTTCAAACTCTATACAGCAACCAAGATAATCGATCATCCTATCATTTTCTCCTTCTTTAGCTTCCCTGAGAGTCCTGTTTTCCCTACTGACCTATTTAACTGTTCTGTGTCCCTCTGCCAGGGGTCCTCTAAACCTTATAAAATTGCATTATACTTGTTTACTTGTCCATATTTTTAATAATAGAGTATTAAAACTGATCTTACGGAGAGAAAACTGATCTTATTTTAATTCCAGGGCTTAGCAGCATCTACACTAGTAGTTGGAACAAAGTGAATGTTTGCTGATGAAGTGAATGATTCCTTAGTTGAATGTATTTCCTAAGATGCTTCAAGACTTCCCCTCTACTTCAGGGAAATCATACACTTTTATTTTCTATGATTTCTATATACAAGATTTCAAGGTCTCTACAGTTCTAAACTTTCCTGGAATTCAAGCACTACAATTTCAACTGCCACTAGACCTCTACAGATTGTACTATTAGCACCTCAAATACAATACCCATGTCCAAATAAAAATAACTTCTTCCATATCCTTAAATTAACTCCCGTCCTCCCAATTTCCTTACTTCTGAATTATAGTATCACCATCCTGAAAAATCCCCATACCAAGGATTTCTGGCAGAATAAGGAACTCCAGGGCTCCATCCATCCAAAAAAGTAATTAAAGGCTGGCAAATACTGTCATAATGAACTTTTGTACAACTCTGAAACCTAGTAAAAACTTACAAAAAATAGGATAAGGCTTAGTGAAGAATGAAGCTGCTGCTGTCTAGTAAGACAGTATGGCATTTTAAGTTGCCTGCCTATCATCACCTACATCCCAAACCAGCAATGGCTATGAGGATAGCAACCTGCATTCCTAATGCAGGGACTTACTCTCAAAGAATTGTGACTATGGGTTTCAACACGTCTGGCAACTATCTTAAAGACTGGCACAATGGCTTGCCTTGGTTTCACCCGACTTGGAGCATTCCCAGGGTGATGGTGTCTTTTGCTGAAATCATTTCATTGATCCAGCAGCCTGAGGCAAGGAACAACTGGGGCAAGAAACAGAGAGACTGAAAACCCTGAAAAGGAAGATTTTTAGGAAAGAATTTATGTCAGGTAGTAAGGGCTTTTAAAGGCTACTCAGTATACCAGAGAATCCAGAAGGACACACACACATACAACTATCCTGGACACACACTCAGGAGAGGCCTGAGAAGACCCTACAGTTTCACCTTCAGGCTCTGAAGGAGCAGAAGTGAAGGCTAAGGCAGAGTAATTAATGGCCTGGCTAAGTGTTGAAAGATTATTTTCTTTTTCTTTTGGATCCAGGTGTTTAAGGAAGCTCTGTCAAAATGCCAATCATTTAAGCAAACGGAACGCAGACTTCAGCAGCCACACTTCACAAATACAGACAAAAATAGTTTAGAAAGTCACTAAACAAGCAAATAACAGCTCACTATAAGATGTGACAACAAACCTCAGGGAGGTGGTGGTGACACTCAAATACCCATTAGTCAGGAAACAAAGACATTAAGAAAAAAATATCCAGCAAAATTGTCCTTCAAAATTAAAGACACTCTCAGATAAACAAAAAAAGAAGGAATCTGTCACACTAGACCTATGCTACAAGAAATGCTAAAGGAAGTCCTCTAGGCTGAATGAAAGGACACCAAGCAGCAACTTAGTCATATGAGGAAGTAAAGGACAATGATAAATACAGAAGCTGAGTATTACATTTTTTGGCTTGTAAGTCCTCTTTTTTACTTGTATGATTTAAGATGCAACCATATAAAGCAATGATTTCAAATCTAGGTTAATGGGCACACATTGTATAAAGAAGAGACTGTAAAGGAAAAGAGTTTTGTACAGTCTTGTAGCTAAGTGTATACATTAATTCACACTTGATTGTTAAAAAGTTAATTGTAATCCCCAGGGAAATCCCCCCTACCGCCCAAGGAAAAATCCGCCTAAGGAAAAAAAAATATGTACACAGAAAAAGAAATAAGGGAAACAAAATGGTACATCAGGAAAAAAATCAATTACAAAAAAGGGCAGTGACAGAGGGATTGAGGTGAAAAAAGGCATAAAATATAAAGAAAACAGAGTGGAACAGCAGAGGATTTTTCTTATCAATAACTGCTTTAAATGTAAATGGATTACAATGTTGGTATTAAAAAGCATAGACTGACAGAATGGATTTAAAAATGTGACCCGACTCTATGTTAACCGTTAAATATTCACTTTAGATCCAAAGATGAAAATAAGTTTTAAAGTAAAAGGGCAGAAAAGATATTACCTGAAAATGATAACCAAAAGAAAGCTTGGGTGGCTATATTAGTATCAGACAACAGAGACTTTAAGACAAAAGTTGGTACATGAGACAAAGAAAGACATTATATATTGATGAAAAGGTCAATCCTTATTGTCATATTATTTACAATAGCCAAGTTACGGAAGCAACCTAAGTGTCCATCAACAGATGAATAGATAAAGAAGATATGGTACATTTACAGAATGGAACATTACTCAGTCATAAAAAAAAGAATCCTGGCTTGCATTTAATCTTCAGAAGGCATTTGGCTTCTCACAATTCATTGTCTCTCTCCCTTGCATATTACTGCTGTGAGGTGCTCCAGCTACACTTCTTTCCAAGTTACAGTTGAGTTGGAATTTTTCGTACCTTAAAAAATAACTTTAAAAAGACTCTTGCAACCCTATAATATCTCATCTCTAATATTTGATCTTTTATCTTTGCATCCAGGCTTCTCAAAAAGAGAGAGAAAGAAAATAAACAGAGAATTACTCCAATGATTTATTTTCATACGTAATTATTAGTGCCTTTCCACATAGTGGATCTGTGGCATCTTGGTACACTGATGGACAGTGACTGCATTGGGGTATGGGTGGGGACTTGATAATATGGGTAAATGTAGTAACCACATTGTTTTTTCATGTGAAACCTTCATAAGAGTGTATATCAATCATACCTTAATAAAAAAAATTATTAGTGCCTTTCAAACCCCTGAAATTAAAAATTACCAGTAATCTATTGTCTTCCTCATTGCTAAAACAATAAATTGTTTTTAGCCTTCCTCTTAAAAAAAAGAATCCTGCCATTTGCAACAACACAGGATGGGCCTAGAGGGTATTATGCTCAGTGAAAAATATTATGCCAGGCAGAGAAAGACAAATACCATATGATTTCACTTATTTGTGGGATATAAAAACAAAACAAAACAAAACAAAATGAACAAAAATAGCAGTAGACTCATAGACACTGAGAAGTGACTGGTGATTATAACAGGGGAGGGGTTGGGATGGGTGAGGGGGTAAAAAGGCACAAAAATTCTCAATCATAATATAAGCTGTTCATGGGGATGGTGGTACATGGTGAATATAGCCAATGACTCTACAACATCTTCCTATGTTGACAGATAGTAACACAGCACTAGTGGGGATGAGGATTTAATATGGGTAACTGTTGTATCACTCTGTTATATACTTGAAACCAAGGTAAGATTGTGTATCAAAAACACTTAAAAAAAAAAAAGTCAGTCCATCAAGATATAACAATTATATACATACCTGACCACAGAGTCCTAAGACACACAGAGCAAACATTGACAGGATTAGGGAGAGACTGACAGTTCTACAATATAGTTGAAGACTTCAATATTTCACTTTCAATGATAATAGAACTAACCAAAAAAATCATTAAGTAAACAGAGAACTTGAAAAATACTATAAACCAATTCGACCTAACATATATATACAGAACACTGGTAAACAACAGAATATACATTTTTCTCCAGT